GTCAATCCTCCTTCAGTTTGAACACAAGTAACAACTCTAGTATACATATCTTTAATGACTTGAATATAAGTCATATCAACACCTTTCTTCTCAAGAACTCTCCAAAGAAAAAAGTGGGAAAGCAACACTTTTTTTTCTGTGTAAAAAATTTCAACCCTGACTGAGAAAGTCAAGTTTGCTTTTATTAGAAAATTTCCGTGGAGGCACTTACCTACGAAAGTTATCAGAAAAAGTTTTGATGATCTCAAATTAGCAGGAAAATAGAAAGGAAAGTGGGGCTCATTCATGGATGAGAGACATGTATTGATTCAATTAACCATGACTAAAGACTACGCTCAGATTTTCCCCAAAAAATATCTTAACATTGTTGGCAAATCAATGAAGCTACTCAAGTGGTCTCCTGTTTTTGACCTCAATCATGAACCCCCTACTGTACCGACATGATTTAGTCTACCTGGTTTCAAGCTGCACTTTTTTCATCATTAGGTTATTTACTCTATTAGGGTCATACTTGGGAACTCTATGAAGCTCTACCCACTTTCAAGCTAACCAGAATTTTTGTGACCAGGTTTCTTGTGAAAAGAGATATTACTTTACCTGATGTTACTGAAGTTTGGTTGAGCACAACTCATAATGGATATTGGCAGCAAATTATCATAGAACATAGACCTCCTTATTGTTCTCATTGTAAGATGTTTGGGGATATCATTGATAAACGTCATAAGCTTCATCTTAATTTGAAATCTAAAGATCAAGTGAATAAGGATGGATCTAACCCCACTGCTTTGAACATATCTGTTCCACTTGGAGAGAAAACTACCACAAAACGGGATTTGATGTCTGATTTAATTGCCCCTGTGGACCCTCCCCCTGAAAATATTGCTTCTGCAATTGATGAGAAGCTAGATGGCCCTCCGGAGCAAAACCCTATTGAAAACAGTATTGAATGACCCCTACCTACACGGACTGACAATCAGGAGAACCAGCTCCTCATCTTCAAGAAGTATCTGGAGTAGAGGCAACAACTCATACCTCACACACACTTGAACCTCTTGTGGGTAGAATTGTCGACAATCTTTCTACAGCAGCACTAACACCTCATCCGAATGAGCAACAATCCTCGGATGAGGAATAGCAGGTCTACACTTCCATGAGGAAGAAAAAGAATGGAGGTCTACTTGAAGTAGGGAATCTAATGAACGATACTTTAGTCACTTCAGGCAATGATACACACCTAACTAATTTGTTAGTTGGTTCCCTTTTGAGAACTAGAGACGGAAGTAAATTGGGTCGTCCCGATTGATCTTATATGTACACCATCTATTTTTTTTGTTTTTACTTTTCTTTTTTGTGAGTGTAGTACTGTGTGGGTTGTGTGCCTATTTTTAGCCTCACTCATTCAACCTATCTTACTCTTTTCTTTTAAATATATTTGCCCTCGGGCTTTTTTTAAAAAAAAAAAAATATATATATTTTTAGAAAATAATATAAACAATAGATCTTGCACTTCATAGGCAAGTTATCACAATCATTAGTCTTCCCAAGACAGCTCTTCAAGCAGACCCAATTTTTGGTATTCTTGAGCTTGAATCGGCACAATGATGCGTAAAAGCAGATGTTGAACTCATATATTAGAATACAAAAAGAATAAAATAATTTGGATCAGCACAATTTAACATAAATTTGATTAAAGCTAGTTTTATAAAATTTGAACTTGCTTTGAGATGCATGCAATGCAATCTTTTATAGATTACTAATGTAATTCACTCATCTCAAAACAAACTCAAGAGTTATAAAACTCATCCAAATCCGATTGGGGTTAGAATATCCTGACCCAATTTTTTCCCATAAAAAAAAAAAAGCATGAAAAACTCAGAAGAGTAAAAAGACCACACCTGCTTTAAAAAACAAACGCTATAGTCTTGAAGATGATATTCTTTGAACCTGAAAAAAAGGAGGAAGATTGACATAAATACCATAATTCCTGTGTATTTGCATATCTAACACCTAAACTTCAACTTTTACATGCATGCCCCCTTGTCTATGCATGAAAAAGGGTGTATTTCACTTTTTAAAAGTTAGAACAAAGGTAAATTTTTAAGTGATATGAAAGATATGGGTGGTCTAAATGTAAAAGGTAAAAATTTAGGGGTTAAATATGTAAACATATAGGAATTGAGTTAAATGTATGTAAATGCAACTAACAAAAATGACATCAATGCGACAAATAAAGACTTGACTACATAACGCTTCCATAGAGTTACATTAACTTCAGAGGAAATGACTGCTCAAATTGTCAAAATAAAGATGTTGAAGCCCATCGCGAAGATCAAAAACACAATATATTGGGACATATGTATATGCTTCAATAAAGTTTTGATGGCTGAAGATTATTTAAGATAACTAAATGCTCAAACAATCAAGCCCGCATCAAATAATTCGTAAAGCCCAACCAGATCTGAAAAAATTGAAGTGAAACTATTAAAGAATATCATATTAAATGAGGAAAAAACATCATCAAAGCAAAAGATTGATGGAAAAAAAAGGCATAACAATTCAATGAAATTATGTTATCGACCTTGGCTAACTTTTTATTATTAGAAAATGTATGGAAGATACTAAACTAGCTGAATTTAAAATTTTGCACAAGAAAACTTACGCCAGCACAGTGAAAACCAAAAATGCCACCAACATCAAGAATAGCATTGCCAAGTACTGAAATTTTGCAGTCAAGGCCACCTTAAAACTCATATGATAGAGAAACTAATATTGAAAGTTGTCACACAGAAGAAGAAATTGAAAGGATAACACCCACAGCAAAACAATAATGTTTTTCAAAGCTCCAAGGAATCTAACCAAGGACCTGAAGAGTTGAGGAACCACATAGACCAGAAAAAAGAAGATTAGAAGCTAAACTGTGAATGTGAAAATTAAATACTACAATGATAACCAGATAGAAATCTTACATCAGGAGTATTAGAGCACCAAGACCAATCACCAGTAGTGTCAGTGTTTAGTGACACTGATCATGGTGAGTACTCATTCATATTCCAAAACAAATAACTCCAAATCCCATTATTTGCAGCACAGATTTTAGGTTTTTACATGTTAAAACTTAAGAGAAAACAATGGAAGTTTATAAACAAAAATATCTTCTTTCTTTTCCTATTTCTCAGCCATTTAAATTCAAAGATACAACACAATATCCCTTCTACTTTTCCAGTTTATTTCCCAACTTCATATTTTCCTTAAATCTAACCTGGCGGGCATCGATAAGTAGATTATGCGTCCAAACGAAAATGATTGAGCCATTCATGTACCCATAATATCAATGAAGCATGAAGAACCATAACGAAAAGTGAAGAAAACTTTCATATATTATGAGTCCGGGAACTGTGAGGTGAATGATGTGCAAGAAAATCAAATCAATAAGCAATTTTGAAGAAGGGGAATGCAGACTACGGAAGCAGTTACCATTGTGAGAGAATTGATCCATTGGATCACGAAGGTGCTCGTTCCTGCGCTCATCTAGCTCAAAACTCAGAAGCTTCGATACATTTTCACCTTGCTAAGCAGAGAAAGGTGAAAATGATGAAGGAGAAAGTGGGTGGAAAGGCTTGTGGCTTACGAATGATGGATGACGGATTCAAGTTGGTAGCCGTCGCAAAGATGTAGATGCCAACCGACAAGCTTCGGGGTTGAGCGATAAACGAAGGGCAAACAGGTAAACTTCAAGGTGCGAAACGCAGGCCGCAGGGTTGATCCCGCGGCCGCATTTATTAACGAAACGGTCCGACGTTTTAGGATAAACAGTAAAACGCGATAAACAAACGCCATTCTTTCATTTTCAAAACTCAAACGCAGCAATTAAGCTGCCCCAAACACACCCTTCGGCTTAAATCAAAGAACAAGATCACTAGAAATAGATGAGAATGTCAATGGACAGATAGTTGATTCTTGTCGTGCTTCTTTGGAATTCATGAATATCATAACCAATAGAACCCACAACCCCTACTCAAACACATAATCATTGATGAAAAAATCACTCAAATTTCGATTGTAACAATAGCAATAGGTAGAAAATAGGAATAACCAGGATACTAATAGCCCAGGACTAATTTGCCCACCAGAATTCACTTACAACTCTCAGTTCAAAGAAAAAAAATTATCCTTGGAAGAAGAAATGTTACAAATGGGAAATCAATTACAAAGTTAAGTTGCGTCTATAAAAAATATGGAGAATCAACTAGGGCAAATAACTAACGCCTTGAGTATTAAACCCCAATGAACATTGCCTAGTAACATGGATGTGAATCCTAAAGACAAGGGAGCAAGTGAAAGAAAAAGAAGTTAGGGGAGGTGACTAGGAATCAGTACAGTGAAGAAGAACTTGAACCTGAGATTTAAATAACTAATGATGCTTAGAAAAATTTGACTCATCTCCTAGGAGATAACAAGAAAGACCACTACTAGCTTTCTCCAGAGACTTCAAAAAAATAAATTGAACTAACAATTCTCGAGGTTTGTAAAAGTGTTCAAAAAGCTCACAATAAATATCTCATTTGTCAAATCTTTAAAAAAGATGTCTAGTTCTGTGAAATCCATGAATGATATATTGAATAAGAAAAGAAAATTAGGTGATTTTTTAGCCTAGAGCTTTAAGTGAGTGAAGCGCTATCAATCAAAAGAAACTTAACCAGAAACTTAAAGACCTCACTGGCTTCACCATACCTTGTGTCATAGGAGAGAAATTCTTCAGGAAAATTCTATATGACTTACGGAAAAGTATTAACCTCATGTCTCTATCTATCTCTACGAGATTAGGATTAGGAGAAGTGCAGCCTACCACAGTGAACCTACAGTTAGTTGGTCGCTCTCTTATCTATCCTAGGGGGTCAAAGAGAATGTTTTAGTTCAGGTTGATAAATTTATCTTCACCGTTGATTTTATTATTTTACATATGGAGGAAGATAAGATGATCTCAATTATCCTAGGTAGATCTTTTCTCGGCACAGGAAGGACTATAATAGACATTTAGAAAGAAGAGTTGACTATGAGGGTAAATGATCATAAAGTGAATTTTAATGTTTTAAAATCAATTAAGTACCCCCGGCTCAAGTGATGATTCATGTTATAGGTTACATTTGTTGGATGGATTGATTAGGAGCCAATTCCAAAATACCATTGAAAGAGGCCCAATAGAGCAAGACTTGATCGAGGATGATAGTAATGATCCTAAGTAAGAATCTACTCAACTGCTAGAAGCAATCCCTAGAGTGATTAGGGATATGTTTTGAGATTTTAGACACCTCGACTAGTGTTAAACCATTAGAAACTTCTATAGTTGAGGCCCCTAACTTAGAACTTGAGGTTCTCTCAAAATATTTAATGTATTCTTAAGAGTCTTCTACTTTGTCTGTCATTATTTCTTCTAAATTAACTGAATTGCAAGAAAAAGCTAATGAGAGTTTTGAGGACTCTTAAGAAAGCTTTTGAATGGAGTAGAACACATATAAATAATATAAGTCTTTCCTTATGTATCCATAGAATATTGATAGAGGAAGGCCATAACCCAAAGTTGATCCCCATAAATTGTTAAATTTAATTATGAAAGAGGTAGTGAAAAATGGGAATTTGAAGTGGTTAAATGCAGAAATTATGTATCATATTATCGATAGTACATGTATTAACCCAACACATTGTGTGAATATAGTGGAGAATGAAAGGAACGAACTTATACTTACTAGGAGTGTCCAAGGTTCGAGGATCTTTATAGACTATAGGAAGTTGTACAAAGCGACTAGGAATAACCATTTTTCCTTCTCATTCCTCGACCAAATGCTAGATAAATTGGCAAGATACACTTTTTTCGCTTCATAGGTGGTTACTCGAAATACCATCAACTATGTTGCACAGACACGGACATGAGGACACGAACACGACACGACACGAACACAGAGCATGTTTATTTTTGAAAATATAGGACACAGACACAAGTCGGATACAACACTATAATAAATTTTTTAAATATATATAAAAATTAAATGAACAAATATTAAGAGTAATACAAAAGTGAAAATAAGAAATTTAATATAACTAAAAACTAAGAGCTCGTTAAACATCACTTTTGTTTTATGTTTTAATTAAGATAATCTTTATTCATTTTATTTTTATCTTTAAAAATGATCAAAATGTATAAAATTAAGCATATATTATTTTGTATTATATTAAAATTTAAGTCCTCTTAAACAATTATTCATTAAGAAAATAAAATGATCATTGACTTCCAAACTTATGTATTTACATATCTAACATCGAAATTTTGATTTTTCTTTTATGCCACCCACATCTTTCATATCACAACCAATATAACAATATTTTCAATTTTAAAAAGTGAAATACACATTTTCTTATATATGTAAGGTGCCATATATGTAAAAATTGAAGTTCATGTGTTGGATACTTAAATACATAAAAATTAATTGATATGTATCTAAACATTTCATAAATTTTACATAAAAATATGTATTTTTTAATTATAGTCACAAAAATATTTTTCATAAATTCTTAATTCATCAATTTAGAACATGTGTGTCTTGAGTGTGTTATATGTTTAATATTATTTAAATCAGACACTTTTATATGATGTTCGACACATGTCGGAGCCGTGCCCGTGTCCAATATATGTCCAACACTGCACAGCTTTTTAATTAGAAGTGTGTGCATCATAGGCCATCAAATTCCTATAACATCAAAGAATCAAGATAAAATAACTTTCACTAGTCACTACGAAACATTTGTTGTTAGGAGGATGTCATTTGGCCTGCGTAATACCCTGGTCACTTTCCAATGTTGTATGATATCTATCTTTTCAACGATAGAAAAAGTGATAGAGGTGTTTATGGACAATTTCTCTGTATTTGGCATATCATTTGATTCATAGA